TTTTCGCAGGTAACGCAGTAGGAAGGACACACACACACACACACACACAATGAGGTCCCTGAAGAACTGACTTAGATGAATCAGTGGTCTGTTTCTACATAAGGCAGCCCTATATACTCACACAGAAGACTGGGTATATGAAACTGCTCATGTAATATCATCAGTCTTTTCAAGAGAGGGTAGTGCCTTTAAGGACACACCAGCTAGCTGCAGCCAATCTCCTGGCCTCCATTATGGCTCTTTTGAAAAGCTGCAGCAAACCACAGTCTTGGGAAGAATACTCTTGAGAGATTCCTTTTTTTAATTCTGTGAATATTGGCAATTGACTGCTTTAGGGACGAGATGAGTCCTATCACCACCTTGTAATTTTCTATCCTGCTTAAAGACCCCACACTATTGTCAGACACATGAGAAATGCTACAATACCTGGTTGTGTTCCCAACCAACAGAGCGTAGCTTGCTTTATAGAGTGTATGCCTGGTGACCAAGATGGCAAAGAGATGCTTCTTAGTCACATGAAGCTGCCTTATACTGAACCAGACCACTGGTCAATCAAGGTATTGTCTACACAGACTGGCAGCAGCTCTCCAAGGCCACAGGCTGTGGTCTTTCACATCACCTGCTACTTGGTTCTTTGAACTGGAGGTGCCGGGAATTGAACATCAGACCTTCAGCATGCAAAACACATGTTCTACCTCTGAGCCATAGCTGCTCCAATTGTATCTGCACAAGTAGAGTTCTTTAAATAGGGCTAGGACCATTAAGGTAGATGGCCAAAGAGAATGAAGAAGCCTCTAGAGATTAGAAAACTGAAAATGACCAGACATTTTGAAGTAAAAAATCACTTGTATCAGCTCCTGAAAGCCACACTAAGGGTCTACTTGACTGTTTTGATTAGTAGTGCCTGAGGATATAGACAAGGCTGTTGGCAATTTGAAGGCCACTAGCTGATAAGCTATAACAGGCAAAGAGTACACCCTACAATTGCACAGGATGCAGCTAGGGGTTTAAACCCCTGCTTTCTGCTCTTCATGAACTGCCCCGGCCATGAACTCCATCAAAATTCATGAAAGTTCATGGTGGTTCTTCAGTTTGCGAACACTGCTTCGCAAACCACAACTAGTCAAAAATTGTGAAGAACTTTAGTTTGTCAGCTGGTTCATGCACATCCATCCAATAATGATGGCCCTGGCTTCTCACCTGTTGATTTTTTTGAAAACTGATCCTGCTAGGCTAAACATTTAACTCTTTTTTTTTTAAACAGCCCTTGGAGAAAGCTGGCTTTCTCAGAACCCTCAGCACTCTTACAGCCACTGTATTCACAGTTCCATGAGAAATGGCAGTAGGGCTACAGCCAAAGACTTCAGCTAGACTGGTCATCTGTGGGGGTAGAGCCAGCTGGAATTCAGAAATAGATGGTCTGAAATATTTTAGAACAGCAGGATGGAGACATACCTGCATCTGACTGCCAGATGAGCCTTCTCATGTCCTCTTGCTTCTGGTTGGCAGCCAAATTCATCTCCTGCACGGTGACAATGGTGAAGGAAGAGAACATGTTCTGGCATGGAGGAGGGAAAAAAGGGGTTATTTGCCGAGGCTTGGATACTATTGGAAACTGAGTTTCCCCCCCACTTTCTCATAGCATTGTGCTGCTTCTGTGCACTTCCTGGGTTTTCCTGTCTTTCCTGCGATCTCTCAAATCTGTCTCCAGAACTTAAAAAAGAAAAAAAATCCAAACTGATTAGAAGTTGGATTTTGCTTTGGACTAACATGGCTGCCTCTAAGTTCTGTCTGTCTTTTTAGGCTTCTCAACACTTTTATGTGTTTTTCAAGATATAGTGTCCCCTCCCTCAAGATGTTGGACGCATTTCTTCAACTGCGGCCTTAACTAGCCCCATCAAGCGCTAATATTCTCTTCTCAGACTTTGAATATTGGGAGAGCAGCTTTCACTGAGCTAATGTAGTGGCAAAGACAAAATGATGTAAGCCAGGAACTCTCTGGTTCAAGGCTTATTACAGCAACCACATACTTAAAAAAAAAAAAGCTTCAGGCAAGCCAGCCACCACGTCTCAGCCCCTGTCTGATACTGTGTACAGCTGTACAATACAGAAGTCCCTGGTCTGCAAAATGCCATCCTATCTCAGAGAGTTGTTGTGTGGATTCAGAATGGAGCACTTGGCAATTTTATGTAGTGCTTTTTGCCAAGTATTATGTTTCTCTGAGGAGAGCTTCTCAGTGTTGATTCCTTGTTCTGAACTATAAGGCCAGCGAAGTGAAAATCTGCCCTGTTGCCAGAGTCGTGGATACCAGCAGCAACCATGCAAGCTCCCCCTTCCCCCAATGTGGAATCCTGTTAACTGAAGTTTCCTCTCCTGGAATCTCTTTAACCCCATCATTTTTAAATAAAAGCCATGTAATACTTTATTAGGAAAAAAATCAAAACAGTTCTCCAGAACTTAAAAAAGAAAAAAAATATCCAAACTGATTAGAAGCTGGATTTTGCTTTGGACTAACATGGCTACCTCTAACTTCTGTCTGTCTTTTTAGGCTTCTCAACACTTTTATGTGTTTTTCAAGATATAGTGCCCCCTCCCTCAACAAGTTGGATGCATTTCTTCAACTGCAGCCTTAACAAGCGCTAATATTCTCTTCTCAGACTTTGAATATTGGGAGAGCAGCTTTCACTGAGCTAATGTAGTGACAAAGACAAAATGATGTAAGCCAGGAACTCTCTGGTTCAAGGCTTATTAGCAACCACATACTTTTAAAAAACTCAATCAATTCCAGAAAAATCGTTAGAAGAAGAAAGCACAAAACAAGGGATCTATATACAAGTTTCAAAAGTAATACTTGGAAAAAACAACCCCATTTTAAAATCACAGTTCCTCAAAAAGAAGAGTTTCTTTTCAGAAGGACTTTTGTGTCACTTTCTAAAAAGCTCTTGATTACAACCAAAGAGCAAAAACTCAGCTGGGATGTGCTCATCATACATAGAGATGCGCTGCCCAAGGTGGGCTCGGCTCGGGACAAATCTGAACGGGAAACTGCCTTATACAGATTCAGACCTCTGGCCCATCTAGTCCAGTTTTGTCTGTGCTGACTGGAAAATGGCTTTCCAAGAACTCACGCAAAGAAAGGTCTTTACCAACCCCATAATGAAAATTTAAAGAATCAATCAATTCCAGAAAAATCGTTAGAAGAAGAAAGCACAAAACAAGGGGTCTATATACAAGTTTCAAAAGTAATACTTATCTTGGAAAAAAACAACCCCATTTTAAAATTACAGTTCCTCAAAAAGAAGAGTTTCCCTTCAGAAGGACTTTTGTGTCTCTTTCTAAAAGGCTCTTGATTACAACCAAAGTGCAAAAACTCAGCTGGGATGTGCTCATCATACATGGAGATGCGCTGCCCAAGGTAGGCTCGGCTCGGGAAAAATCTGAATGTGAAACGGCCTTATACAGATTCAGACCTTTGGCTCATCTAGTCCAGTTTTGTCTGTGCTGACTGGACAATGCCTTTCCTAGAACTCACGCAAATAAAGGTCTTTACCAACCCCATAATACCTGTGACCTTTTAACTGGACTGAAGCTAGGGCCTTCTGCATTCGTTTTAGTGCCAAGCTGTATATCCCTTCTCCCCCAATTATAAGGCTTTATTAGCCCAACATACCACACTGAATGGGGTTCAGAAGCTTACTGTCACCAGAGAACTATGCCCTTTCTTATACTTCCCTCACCTGCTTGAGGCTGCGCTGGCCAGGCTGGTATGGAGGTCCTCCACCAGGTGCCAGCACTAGCTGGGGGGCCATGAACTCCTGCTGGGCCAGCAGCCGATGTTGCTCAGCGGAGGACTCTGCCGTGTCTAGAAGGATAAGGTGGCGTCCCCGGACCACAAGCCCGTCATGGTAAACACCAGGTTCCAGCAGGGGCTCCCCTACACCCCGGCTGTCATCATACAGCAGCCGCCGATGTACCTGGAGGCAAGTAGGGAAGGGAAAGAAATGATGATGGTCAGGATCGTTCTTACAGTGCCTGGGGCTGTGGAATAGATAAGTCTCAGAGTACAAGCTGATTCCTGGGATGGAGAAACACTGTGTCTTCCTGTGCCGGCCCACAAGAATTTTGGTGTTCCTCTTTACTGGTTGAAGGGCTTCCACAGCACTGTTTGCCCCTTGCTTCCTGGTCACCTAGCCACCCCCACCGACTTCAATGTGGAGAGAGTGCAGTGGTCCCCATGTGCCCATGCTGACACTCAATGACACCTTTCCTGACACCCACCAAGTGCTTTTAGAAAGTGGGTGGGGCCAGGCAGGGCTCCTGACTGGTTGTGTGGACTAAAACAACATGGCTTCAGCAGCAGCTGCCACTGCAGTTATTAGCTTATTCTCTCACACTCCACTTCTCCAGTGTACTTTTTTCAAATTTGTCCTCTGATCCCCTGCACATGGGCTTCCTCTGTGTGCGGCTCTGTCTCCCAGGGTGGCCATTTTGTGACTGGCTCCACTTTCCACATCAGCCATTTTGTGGTTGCACCCACCACCCTCTGTCAGAATTCCAAAGGTGTGCACAGGCTCAAAAGGTTTGGGGACCCCTGCAACAGAGAAAGGCTGTTTGCCGCCATGATTGTGAACAAGATTTGAAACTGTAGCAGGAAGCATTCCCTTCCCCCACCCAGAAGCCTTGCTGTGCTCACCATGAGCTCAAGAGAGCCATCAGCTGTGCTGCTGCCTCCCTGAGAACGGTCCGTCAGTACTGTTAGCTGAACCTTCTGGTCCTGGAGAGAACAAAGAGAAAAGTGCAAGGCTAGGATTGCATACATGCATATAAAGATGACCTGTACTTGGTAGGTGCTGCAGAATTACAGGTCAGGATCAGTGTTCCCTCTAAGCTGAGTCGGTTTTTAGCCTCCAGCTCACACATTTTTCTCTTAGCTCAGGAAGGAGGGCTCCAGAGCAGACTCCTTTATGCAGGAGCCAAATCGCTCGCTCACAACTTTAAATGCCAGTGGCTCACAAAGTAGAATTTTTGCTCACAAGACTCCACACCTTAGAGGGAACATTGGTCAGGATGCCACTGTGAATACTTCAACCCCACCAGAACACACCCATAGCCCACTTTCAGCCATTGCCCTAGCCTACACCAGAGAGAAAGCTGCATCTGTCTCATATCTTTCCCAAAAGATACTGGACCGATTGGACGGTGGAGTCTCCCAAGAGCAGCCAAGCTTATCAGCCACCAGGGGGCACTGTTACCTTGATGTAGATACGGCTGTTCACAGGGTAGTAGTTGCCAGCCACTGGCTCAGTCTGGCTCAGGTTCCACGTGGCCCTGTAATCCCGCCTACCAAGGGGAAGCAAACGGAAGAAGAGGAGCCTCTTAGCTTCTTGCCTGCCTGATCTGCTTAAGTGGCTAAAGTCTCAAACCAGGGACTAGGGAGACCTAGGTTCATATCCCCAGACTGTCCTCAGTCTGCCCTTAGGCCAGTCATTCATAACAATCCCAAGAGAGACAGGTTAGGACAAGGGAGGGGGGGGAACGTGAGGTCATGTTTGTCACCCTGAGCTCCTTGGAAGAAGATGGGATTTTTGAAAAATGCCACGACAACAGCAAAGAGTCAGAGAGAGAGAGCACAATAGACCCCTGAAGCTGTAAAGATAAACATGTGTGTAGTGCTCTTCAAGTGCTCATATGTTCTCTTAGAAATTCTTATGTGGCAAGGCAAGATTATATATGGGACTGGGGGAATAAGGCTAAGGGAAAATGACTTTAAGGCCACTCAAACTTGGGGCAGAGCGTGATCTGCTAGCCAATGTACCGCTTGTCCTTTTAACTCCTGCATTATCACACACTCTCCACAGAGCTGGGAACAGAAATATCTTCTTGTTGTCGGCCTACGATAGGTCAGCCCCAAACCAGGATGTCTCACTCAACCGTTGCCCATTGCCAGTACCTTCTCTCTAGAATCTCACGCCCATTGGAGTCCGTGTAGAAACGCCCATCGGTCTGCAGGTTTGTACTGAAGCGACTGATGATCTCCTTGCCAAGGCCATCTCTGTGGAAGAAACAGTGGTCAGAACTGTGCTCCAGCGTGGGCCCTCACCCCAACTTCTGATGCTCACCTGATTGGGATGGGTCCTACTGTCCACTCAAGTTCGACATACGGTTGCCCAGCATAGAGCCGTACCACTTGGGAGCACCAGCTGGAGAAATTCTGGTACACCTCCTGTACCACTTGGGTCTGTCAGGTAAAACCATATACAAATATTATTCTTGCTCGGCATCAAGAGGGAGTGCCCCCCGGCACCAACAGAAGCCGTACTAAGAGACAAGCCCATTAAACGGAGGCTGCAGCAGTTGCCTCTAGAGATACGAGAACCATTAGCAAAGTGCTACAAGGGCAGTCTACAGGCACATCCAATGCATGAGCAACCTTGGTTTAAGAGAGGGTTGGCACTATCAGAGCCAGAGGGAGTGTCCTAATAACTATTTTAATTTTTCTGCTCCAAGGAGGAATACTCCTTCCTCACTCATTACAAGAGCCGCTTGGTGACCAAATCTGTGACCACAGAACTTCTCATGGCACTTGTATTTGTATATATTCTTTCTGCAGAACTGCTGCCGCAAAAGCCTCTAGGTGTAGATAGTAAAAACACTATGACCCAAAAGCCATTCCCAGCACACACCTCCATTTAGAAAAGCGACTCTCTCCCCCCCCCCCCCCGTCAGTAAACACCAACTCCCCCCCCCTTTCCATTCTCTGCCACCTCCTTATCTCTCAGCCAAGTGTTCTTAGTAGTTTCCAGCAATTCTGGCTCAGAACACCAGCTGCCCTGTTACTTTACACAGACACATGAAGCTGCCTTATCCCGAGACTGACCATTGGTCTCCCCAGGTCAGAGCAGTCTCCCCTGACTGGCAGTGCCTCTCCAGGGAGTTGGGCATCCTGTCACCTACCACCTGTTCCTTCAACTGGCGACGCCGGGGACTAAACTGGGATCTTTATGTCAACCAGGTGCTTCACCAACTGAGCGTCCCCCCCGCCCCCCGGTGCAAATCCAATTCTGAGACCAGTGCACTCGATCTCACTTGGTTCCCAGGCCCAATTCAAAGTGCTGATTTTAATATTTAAAACCCTAAGTGGTCTAGGGACCAGGGTTTTCAAGGGCCACCAACTCCCATGAGCTTGCCCACATTCTCGGACACCTGAGAGATGCCTGTTCTACTCTTGCCAGAGGTGTGGGCAGGGGGTTACATGGGAGTGAGCGTTTGCAGTAGCAACATGGGGCCTTTGGGATTCCCTTCCCAGGAAGGCCCACTTTCTGTCTTCTCTTTGAAGAACTGTCTGAAAACATTTTGTTGCAGAGAGCATTCGGAGGAAAAAAATCTCTTCAAGTCAACTTAACATTTAATTGCAATTCAGGCTGCTCCAGGGTACACTGTCTCCTAGATAAACCCCCTGCTGCTCAAGCCGAGCCATCAGGAGCCCCTCCTTTTCTCACCTTCACCTGGTAAGAGTGGACTCCCTGGCTAATGGGAAAGGCTTTGGAATTGTTGGGACGGAAGATGTAGGCCCCAGACGCCTGTTCATTGTCATCGTTTCCAGCACTGGCATTGTACCTACAAAGGTGGATCAACAGGTAGAAACGGTCATGACACTGAGACTCAAAATAACCCAGAGAATGGAAGGCAGAAGAAGAGCAGCTCTTTATACCCCGCTTTTCTCTACCTCAAGGAGTCTCAGAGCAGCTTACAATCTCCTTCCCGTCCTCTCCCCACAACTGGCACCTTATGAGGTAGGTGGGGCGGAGAGAGTTCTGAGACCACTGTGATTGTCCCAAGGTCACCCAGCAGGTTTCATGTGGAGGAGTGGGGAATCAACTCTGGTTCTCCAGATTACAATCTGCCACTCTCAACCACTACGCCATGCTGGCTCCCCAACCACCCTTAGCGCCTCCCTGTCAGAAGTACATGAGCACCATTTATAGTCACAGGTAGAGAGACCCCTCCTCACCAGACTTCAGATGCTGCTGCTTCCTTCTCAAAGCAAAAAAACCCATCAGAACCTAGTCTCCCAACTTACCAAAAGAAGTTTTGAGAAACTGGTAGCGATATGCTCTTGTCCAGGTTCTGAATCTCCTTCAGAAGGCCTGTTTTGGGATCGAACAAGACCCGCAGATGCTGGTGAAGCAAGGACAAGAGGAGGAAGGGGGAAAAAGGAGACATTACTGGAGCACACCCAGTGGGGGAGGAGACCAGGGGAAAAAAGAGGACATTGGGAAGAAGAAAAAAGTTAAGCCAGAGAACACTGCTTTCAGAAACAGAATCCCAGACTACTTTTAAATGACTCTTCTCATCCTACACTGTTACTCATTTGATGGTGGTGGGAGTTCCAGGAATCTTTCCTCAAGGCGGCACTTCTGTTGTGGAAATCTCTTATCTCCCTGCTGCTAAAATTATAATACCTTGTTTCTGGGCAAAGCAAATATAACCCCCACCCTGGTGAGTGAAGCAATTGCAGTTTGGAGATCCGCCATGGGCACCTACTGGCTAGTGAGAAAAAAACGAATGGAGACACAACTGAAAGACAGGAAGGGGAAAACTAAAGTCAGGGACTTCAATACAGGCCAGCAAACAGTCTACTGAAATAGCTACTTTAGAGAAAAAAACCCCACACATTTTACCATGACACTTCCCAGCCGGTATGATAGAGGTTATACTGCAACTGAGAACGGCAACTGTGATGCTAGTTTCCTCTCCATCATACTTTTGCAATTCTTGCCTGAGGCAGGGAAATGCAGAGTACTGTAAGACAGACATTCCACATCATTGGCTGTCAAAGGCAGGGGGTGAGAGGCAGAAAGATGTGGAACAGGATGATATCATGAAACAAGGCAAGTTTTGCTAGCAAAATGTATGCACGTGTATGGCCACACCCCATTTGTCATCTCTCAAAGCCTGTTCTATCCTCCTTTCCCCCCAACTGAACAGCATTTCTGACATCTCTAGTGCGGAACACCACAATTCTTCACCCAGTCAGTTCTTCACACTCTCAGCTGTGTCATATTATTACTATGTTTGATTTTTCCTTGTATAGAAAGGAAAGAATTCAAAAAGCCCCCAACAACAGTATGTTTGCCCTATGAGACCAGATTTGCTGACAAAGGAACAAAGGCTGGGGAGTCAACTGTGTTTTCATAATGATCAGGTTTTCACAATGAACAGCAAACTAGGATTTGATCCCTGGTTGTGTCAAGTACAGCCTTTGCCTGAAGATCTGGGTAGTGCTTCAGGTGAAACCCCACCACCACCAGAGCTGCTTCAGCTATTGTACTGATAGAAAGCCACAGGCACAGAGAGATTTTCAAGAATTGCTCAGGTACAGCAACAGAGAGAAATCCAGGCATGTTGACTGGCCTTCAGCCTTATAGGAAAAGACCAGGAAATTGACCAGGAAGCCTAGAGTGGAGGGATTTTGGTCAGCCCATACCTCATTCTGAATTCCCTTTGCAGGCGGGGCTGGCTCATACAGCCTCTTCAGCAGCTTGGAGTGAGCTTGGTTCCTGCCAGGCACTTTGGATATGGTGTAAGAACTATAGCCCACTGGAGGAGAAGATGCCTGGAATACCAGCTCATTGATAGCATTGCCTCGATCACGCCGCACCTTCTGAGTGAAGCTCGATACAGGGATGACCTGGCAGTGGACAGAAGATTTGTTCAATTCATTACTCTGCTCAAGCAAAGAACCTGGAAGGGAAGTCCTCCTTTCAAAAGCATGAATATTTTTCTCCTGTCAGGCCTATAACCACAAGGGAGGCCTTCAGGGGCCTGGACACCTTAAGATATTCCAGGTACTTCTAAGTTTTCATTGTGAACAAATAATTACTTAATCATGGAGAAATACATGTGTAGGAGGCAGTGTTTTACTCAGTTGCCCTTCAGGAATTCAACATGCCCTACACTTCCAGTATCTTGGCCAATAAGATCAAAGGCACACAGGTGACTGGCAGGCATTTGACTCTTTAATTAAATAACTTCTTCTGTTTAGGGACTGAGTTTGTGTTTTGCACCTCTTACTTAAGAGACAATGTGGTGTAGTGGTTAGAGTGGCAGACTAGGACCTGGGAGACCCAGATTCAAATCCCCACCCTGCCATGGAAGCTTGCTGGGTGACCCTGGGCCAGTCACACAATCTCAGCCTAACCTACCTCATGGGGCTGTTGTGAGGATAAAACAGAGAAGAGGAGAATGATGTAAGCTCCCCACTGGGAAGAAAGGTAGGATATAAATAGAGTAAATAAATACCCCCCTCCGCAAACTCTTCAGCTCCATCGCCACAAAGTTTCGGGTTTGCCCCCAGTACTGAAATGAACCATGCTCACTTTACACTCCTCCTGCTCTACAAGGAACCATGGTTGTCTGCTTCTTACCTCATTCAGAACCGCCTGGCCATCTGGAGCTGTCACTGAATAATGGTTTCCATTCACTGGCAGTCGGATATTCTGGTTCACGAGGCGTGGAAGCGGGTTGTAGACAACCACCACAAACTGCAAGGGCAAAAAGCAGTGTGCCAGTCCAAGGCAGGCACAGGAGCCCCACTGGACTCCTTGGCCTAGTCGGGGAACTCCAGCGCATAAGCCTTGATTCTTACAGCTGATCTGGGAGGCTACAGATCTAGATGAGGGTCCGTAAGGAATGAGGGATCAGGCAGTAATGCAGCCCACTTACTGTATGGGCAGCTTCAGTCAGTGGGCAGATACTGATGTTGAGATATGTGCAAAACATGAAGTTCTCCTTGCTGCCACCAATACTGGCCAGGGCATTACTGATCACAACCTGCAAAAAGAGAAACAGGGTCACAATAAGAGAGTCCTATCCCTGCCTCTGAATACCTAGTGATCTAGAAGGACGGCAAGAGGAACCCTAACATGTTGGTGGCAGAAATTCGTGGAATTCTCTGGCATTATCGACATCTCACATAAGTACAATAGTGGAATAGTAATCATGGTCTTCTTTCAAAGGGTGCCATAGCACCTAACAAGCACAATGCCTGATTGAACCACATGAGTTTTAAAAGCTAGCACATGCTTGTCTGGAATAGGGAGCGGTAACTGTACTTGTGATTAATGAACGTGGCTAACTACATGAATGTGCGCTATGATTTATCAATGTATTGTTTGAACTTCAATAACGTTTATAAAAAACAGAAAAGAAATTCCTGGGATCAAAACAGATCCATGTGTTACACAAAACAGGGACAACCTATTCTTTAACCTATTCTCAACTTTTATTTTATTGCATTTCTATCCCACCTATAATTCATGCCAGAGTAGTTTGGGTTCTGGGTGCTGACGAGACCTAGAACAACTTAGTTTCAGAAAGGCTGCTGGATCATTGTGTTTAGCCACACTTAACTGTCTGTATGGGATCCTCGGTGTCAGAGCTGTCACTATTCCACCACTGCAGAGAACAGTGAATCTTCAAGTACCCTGCGAGCCCCAGTGTGGTCTTGTAAGTGGCCACAGTGAAGGGAGCAAGGTAGGAAAACCACCAGATTCTAGTTTGCACTGCCCAGGTCCACATGCACAATGGAGAATCAAACCATCACCTTAGCCAGAGGCAAATTCTAGCCTCAGGTCTCTGGTGTGCAGGTTTTACTATTCCCATAAATCCTACAGTCGCACCCTTTCACCTTTTCCCAAGACTGGGCAGAACACTAATAAGATTCGGAGCTAGAAAGTCCTAGACGGAACAGCTACTTAACGGCGGAAGCCGGTGCTGCCATCCTCCTCTTCCCTTTCATTTGGGCAACCGAGTGGTGCCCACCCTCTGCTGGTTCGGGCACATACCTGGCAGGCATCCCAACCAACTGACAGCTGTTTGGCGTAATCGTTGGTCACATGCTGCTTTGCTGTGCCGCTCACTGCATCGTGGTGCTGAGCAACTCCCATGGCCTTGCCTGCAAGAAGACGATGGGGATTGTCACAGCATCTGGACAGGATCCTTTGGGCTTCCGCACCAAGACAGCAGGGGTGTGCAGGGGGAGCTCTACTACCCAGTAATCCAACAGGAACCACACACCCACTCATAAGTACCAGAAACACTCTGAATCTGAATTAAATGATTTCTGATGGTCAGGAGCAGGCAGATGCTTTCCAAACCTGACCACTACAAACTGTCATGCAGTCAGTTTTACAGGCAGAGGGAAGAGAAGGCCAGGGGAAAATGCTCAGCTCTGCACGTGACAGGGATGGGGGACAGGACCACAGGCAGCTGGCATTTTTGTGCTCAGCACTTGCACCAATTAACATATTATATCAGTGGCCTTGGGAAGCCTTCCCGAAGGCTCGGTTACCTCCCAGGGCTTAGCCTGCAAGGGAAAAAAATGGGGATGCCAAAAAGCACTAGGATGGGATTCCCTAGGAATCACACAGGAGGGGGTTTGGAGGAAAAGTAGAGCAAAGACTACAGTTTGCTCCCTTAACAGGCAACTGACCTGTTTTGCAGACCTGTGAGGAGAAGGAAACAGAGCCATGGTTGCCCCCTCATCATAACAAGGCAGGAGCCAACAGCAGGCCTACCCTGCAGAGGACAGAGGCAAAGGCTTTGCTTCCACATACCAGCGGCTCGGATGGGCGGTGGTGGGGAAACAGAGGCACAGATGCTCTTGACTCCCTCACCCTCCACAACAGGTAGCTGCCAGCAGGCAGGCAGAGCTGTGGATATGGGATGGGAGGAAGAAGCAGAGGCAAAAAGCCAGGATTTCACCCACCCGGCAATAAGCAGCCCATATTCAGTCAACTCTCACCAGGAGGACTGTCACAGAAACAGGGCAAGGACAGGTGGATACCATGGTGTGATGAAGGATCAGAGCATCTCTCTGTTTGAGAGAACTGATGATTTAGGATCTGCAGGCTCTCAAAGTTTATTGTATCATGCAACCCCCCCCCCCCACTACTCTTGATATAAATCACCCACCAAAGCCACCGTTACCCTTATAAAGAAGGGTACGGTGGTGGTGGATTTTCACCAAACACCAGAATCAGAAGTACTTGGGAAATAAAATTATGAAGACACCCAAGCACAGCAATGTAAAACAGGAGAAGAGGAGAATTCGTTCCTCTCAGCTACACGATCCATTTTACCTTCTGCCTGAAATCTGAAAGGGAAGATCTAGTGAATGAGGAAGACAATCATTGAGGATTTCATCCCAACAACGGTGGTGGTGGTGGTGGTGGGGATTGCCGGTATAGAACTTGAAATACCTTTTCGATTGATTCCTTAGTTTGAGAGACCTTTAATTGTAATATTTTAAAAAATTCAAGTGTTTAGAATGGCTCACTTCTGCAGCATACTTTTTGGCACACCCTTAATAGACAGTGGCTGCCATTGGCCCTGATACAGAGACGACAACCCCGGAACTACTCCCTCACAATGCCCTCTCGCAGGATCACTCTCTTGTTCACTTCCCTACATTTGGGCACAAATCAGACCGGGCACTGAATGAAACAGTTTGCAGGCTGTCACGGAAGCTGCTGCAGCGGCTACTGGGGCTCTTGTCCTCATATCAACCTGAAGTCAGGGTCAAATAAATTTGGTTTTATACACCATCTGGAATGTTAGTGTACTCGTTTTTCCTGTTTTTAACTTATTTAAAGTGATGATTGTATTCTTGAATGTTATACACCACCCTGAGCCCCAAGTATGGGGGGACGGCGATTTAGAAATCAAATGTATAAATAAACAAATCTGTGCCTTCCCACCCCACCCCAAAAACCCTCTCAGGATCTCACATACGCAGCTCATAACTACTGGAATTGCCGTAAGGCCCCACGTTAGCGCGTTTGCCAGCCAGCACCTCTAGCTGGTTGCAGACCTGCAAAAGAGAAAAGCTGTGTCAGAGTGAGACATTCTCAACTGCTGGGTACAGGCAGAGATAGAATGGACAGAGCAAGACTACGGATGGAACCTAAGGAGCCAGTGGTCAGGACTGGGTCAGAACCTAGGAATGCTGGGCCTTCATCTTTCCCCCAGCCTGGGGAGGGAGAACGGACATAAGAATGTGCACACTAACCTGTAGAAAATTGTTGCTGAGCCGCTCATAGCGTTTCAGAGCTGGCCGGCTGGTGAAGTAGCCTGTCCAGAACTGGTGGGGGCCATCAGCATACGGAAAGAAGTCATCATATTTCACAGACCTGTCCAAGGCAGAATGTGCCATCAGCTGGATTCTACACAGAAAAGCGGGACACCACCTGCAGTGCTATGGCTCTGCAAATGGCACGTCACCATCCCCTGCCACTCCAGTTCATCTCGATCGTGCTGGTAAGCAGCCAAAGAGAAGGGGCCAGTGCAGGACAAGGCGCTAACGACTTGGAAGGCCAACTCCCTCCTCACCCATGGTTTTGCCAACTGCCTGTTTGCCTCCCTGCCTCTGTCTCACCCATCCACAACAAGGAGACAACACCCAAACAATAGAAACAAAACACCTGAGGGGAAAAAAATCTAACAAATGGCATAGAATGAGCTCCATCTTAACCCACCCAGATATCTCAGTGCTAAGTGCTTTTTGTTAGTATTTAGTCCACTGAGAGCAGTTGTAGTATCAATTAGCTTTTGTGCTCTCCCATGGGCTGGCAGCAGGCAACCTCCTCAGACTGTGGAGCTGGACATTTTTAGAAGGCAGCCATGATGTCCTCCAGAACACCTTGACTGGGGGAAGGAGTCCAGAATCCCTAGGGTGAGTAACCCAGCAGACTCCCGCCGAGGGGGACAATGTTGCTCCAAAGGGTCTGTTTTAATGCAGGGGTTTCTTAGCCAACTTCTCGTGTCCCCCAAGGGAGGCACCATCAGCCAGGTAGGAAGTGGCGCCACATGCTCCCCAGTAGGGCACAGGGAAAGATGAAGAGAGTCGGGGGGGGGGGGAGAAAATCA